AGGAAGTAGTTGNCGGAGCTAGCACCCAACCTGCTCGCCCATACAGGCTGATTGAGCGCTCGGACAAAATTCCTAAGGGGGTCGTGGAGGAGATTGCGTGTTTTTGGTACAACAACAGTGTACTCAGTCCACTCGCGAGGGGCAGTGTAAAGATTCCGGGTATTGTTGCCTTGTACTTTCCACGGAGGATAGTCCAAAAAACGTATCGTCAGCTGTACTTGGATTTCCTGCATCAGCACAGCACCGCCTTCCACGTGTCGTTTGGCTTCTTCGTGGGAGCAAAGCCTGGGTACGTCAAACCTTTTAGGATAAGAGGAATTGTAATGTTGTTTCAGCTTCTGGACTGATGTTACATCCATGAAGCTAAAATGACTGATCGCAGGCAGTGTTTGTTTTCGTTTAGGGCTGGTCCCTTTTTATTACTCATCAAGTAATAGATTTTCAGGGTGTTGTGTGATTCATTACTTAGCTGTAAGGCACTGGGGGCCTCCGCCCCCTCCAGAACCCCCGATAAGTTGCAAGTCCCCTCACAAACTCAGAGCCACGCGCAGATTGGGCCTGCCGCTCGTATGGGTAGTTTTACAGGTATGGGGCCACGCACCCCCCAACCATGTAACACACACACACACACGCGCGCGCGCGCAGATGGTGCGGTTCTCAGTGTCATTCATTCCTGCGGGAGATAGCGTGTGTGTCCAAGTCCAGATGGGAATAATGGTCAGCCCCGGTGCATGGGCATGCAATGTTGTACTGCTCGTTGATACGCGGCGCATACCATGTGGGGCAGGACAGTGCTACTTATCCGTTTGCGCGTTGCTCCACGAGTTAGCATTCAGGTTCAAGCCTTTTGCCCTTTCCATTTTGTTGTGGCCTTGTGTGCTCCGCATGTGCGGCATGTTTTGCAGGCGCTCTCTTGCACAGCAGATGCAACGGACCAGATAACATCTCCGTACAGATGCCGTCCAAATCTGTTGGCTTTGCTGTGCTACACAATACAATGTTCTTCCTTGCTTCGCTTTGAGTTGGGGTGCTGTGTCACCGCAGATGTACGGTGCTGGGTTTCTGTTCAGCATTTGCTAACAGCAGTAAGTTTTTTGATATACGGTTATATGGTGATGATCGTGAGCACGTCCCCCAAGACGTTTTGTGGGGGGTGTCATGGGTATAAGGAGCAGGTCGAACGTGAGGGGCCCTACTCGCGCTCTGGCACGCGGCTGCACACGCACACGCACACGCACGTGCGAATACCGTTGGTCGGGTCACAGAGCGAAATTGCAGTGCCTTTGTAACAACAATATCTTGTTTCCATGCCGCGTTCAACAAAGTTCAGCTGCGGGCCTCGCAACTTCCCGCGGTCCGAACGCATTTCATAAAAAGACGTTGGCCGTTGCACCAAAATAATTTTAATATTACCCAGGATTATGTAGACCTCAAATCCAATGCAGTTTTGCTACATGCGGCATGCTCGGGTGCTTCATGTTTGACCACAGGCCGCGTCACAGAACTGCAAGAATACGGCCCGCCTGCAGGACCGAATGCACTGCAATATTATAGAATTATAAACCCTTCAAAATCATGCAAACAGATTTTCAAAATACTACTCCATCATGGAAATCGCCTCCTCCTAGTAATAGGCAAATAGGGCCGGTCATCCGTGAACAGCACCTGGTAGAATCTTCAAGCAACTTTTGAACGACCAGGGAGAGTTGCTGATAGGCGAATTTGTATGAAGCTATAGAATTCCGTTATTCTTTTAAGGTAAATGAATGCTTATGTATTCGTCCGTTAGTCGCGTGAAGCTTTGAACACTCTTTGTACGGCAGATTCGGCACAATGTTTTGCCTCATTGCGATGTTGCCTGAAATTTTGAACAGAAGGGATCACTGCTCATGCTGGTGCAGCAAGACATGTAAGGAGATGGCCTCGTCACAATCCAGCAGTCATATATCGACAATCTCAAGCTATGACAACTTGTTACATGTGTCTTTAATAAAAAAGGGACTTTGCGATGGTGTGGGGAGCTCTTTGAGTGGTGGGACTGTGGAAATCCAGTTTGTTTCGCCCGTAACAAGTTTGTTACGGGCGAAACAACGTCCCTCTGAAACGTTTGGATATGCCTATGCAACACATTTCCTCAATTTCATGAACTGCAAGTATTCTAATCCAACATCACCCCAATCTCAGTGTAAACTAGTCTCCAAATGTGCCTGCACAAGACTGTCACCCCTGTCACCCGGCATTCACATTGCCTTAACCTCCTCAAGCTTGTCGGGGTGTGACACGTGGGCATGAACCTTGTGACAATGGGCATTGTCACAAAGAAACTGGTTGCAATCAGAAATGCATTTTTGCTCATGCCAGGTTACCGACATCGGTTACCGATTACTGGGGACGGTTAATGGATAACGGTTCGCCCGGTAATCCTACCGACCGGTTACCCATCTCGTTAACTGGACCCGTTAGGTCGGAACCGGGCCGGAACCGGCCTGGAGTATGCCATTGGGAGGGCACTTTCGCACTTGTTAGGGTTGTGAGGGGGGCCACGAGAGAGGAATAACCCTGGATGAACCTCCGAAAATAATTGGCTAAGCCAAGAAACGCACGCAGTTTAGAGGTGTCGGTTGGTACCGGCCATTCTTTAACAACTTTAACTTTGCGCTTGTCTACTTTCAAGCCGTCACGGCTGACTACGTGGCCCAGGAAGTGCAGTTCGGTCCGGTTGAACTGACACTTAGACATCTTTGCCTTGAATTCGTGCTTTCTAAGCAAGGACAACACCACCCTTAGGTGTTGTTCATGCTCGGCCTTGGTCTTACTGAAGACCAAAATGTCGTCCAAGTACACCAGCACAAATTTGCCAATGTGTTCGGCGAAGATCCGATTCATCACCGCTTGGAACGTAGCAGGGGCGTTTGTGAGTCCAAAGCACAGCACTTTGAACTGGTATTGGCCCATTCCCGGAGCGATAAAGGCCGTTTTCGCAACATCCTCTGGTGTAATGCGAATTTGGTTGTAGCCCTGCTGTAAGTCCAGGGAACTAAATATCTTAGCCCCTTGGAGTTGATCGAAGAGGTCAGTAATGTTGGGCATAGGATACCGCCGCTTGATCGTGATTTTGTTTAACGCACGGTAATCCAAGACCATGCGAAGGCCCTGACCGTTAGCTTTTTCCACAAAGATAACGGGTGCACCATAAGGAGAAGTAGAGGGTTCTATGTAGCCTTTACTCAACAATTCGGTGACCTGTTTGCGGACCTCTTGGCGCTCTAATTGAGTCAACCGATACGATCGTTTAGCGGGCGGTACAGCCCCTTCCACTAGTGGAATCGTATGACCTACTTCGCGATCTGGAGGAAGGCCTTTGAGCTCTTCGAATACGTCCTTGTATTCGTCAAGCAACCCTTGCAATGTTGCTTCGGGGATGATGTCGGTGTCGGGTGGAAGTGACTCCGCAGACGCCGACGATTCAGAAATGAGCTCAGATTGCACAAGCATTAAATAGCTTCGTGCGCCTTTGGCAATCCTCCGTGCAGCTGCTTTAGCTGACATCGTTTCCACCGTACTCGCAGCATAGAGAGTGGCGGTAACGTAATTCATGATGGCAATACCATCTAGGTGATCGTCGTCGTCTGCTGAAGACCAAAAGGAAGGCCTCAGGACAACAGTATCGCCGGTAGCTTTCCGTACTGTAAGCGTGTGTGATTCCCAACACATTTTCGCTTTCTTGCGCTCCAATCAGTCATCAGCGAGAATAATTTCAACGCCTGGGACACCTTGCTTTAAAACAAGTAGTGTGACTGTTTCATGAAAGGAGCCTATACGGAGCTTAGCGGTAATCGAGCCATTGATAAGCTCGTGAGTTCCATTCGCGACGCGAACAGTAGAGATAGTGCAAGGACGGACAGAAAGAGCCATCCTGCGGACAGCTTCGAGAGAAATGAAGCCGTCGGCAACCCGGCCGCAATTGGCACCGGAGTCGGCAAGAACTTTGCACGCCGTTTGACACAAGCGAGCATCAAAAAGCATAGTGCGGCCATTGCTATCCAAGCTGTTAAGCTGCACCGATTTGGACGGCGGGTCATACCAAAGCTGTAATGGCCAAGGGATGCCCGGCAAATCCGAACGCGTTCCAACGTCTACTGGTTGGGAGAACAACTGTGTTCCAACAGCATAAGTTTTGAGTAGCTGGTATCCAGCGGAACGCATAAGAAACTCGACTTGAGTCCATTTAGGAACGGCGAACACCGCAGAAGTTGTTGTAGGATTTTTTAGCTTACAGCGGTGGTAATGTTGCTGCCATTCTTTAATATGAGTGTATGGGGGATTGATCCAAACAAACTCGCCAGAGACGTCGGTATCAAAGAACGAGTTGGATGGAGAGGCAAAGCGCGAACAGAGACTGTTGTCGCCCGAGTCGTTACAAGCGGCATCGAACGTAAATTGACGCCCAAGTTCGTTCTCAACCCTTCGAAATTCATCACGAAGGAACATCCGATCACATATCAAACGGGCGGAACAACAGAGTCCCTAATCTTCAAGTCAGGCTCGGCAGAAGAGACTTGGTCTACACGTGCTACGGCCTGCTTGCAAAACACCCCCTCGCGCTTGCCAGCATCCTAATTAGCCGGTCGGTTCGCGTTTAGACTAGCCGTCTTCTCCTGCAGTCGGGCCATCTGCTCCTGCAGGTGGCGAAGGCAGTCCTTCTTGTGCTCTTCCCAAGTCTGGTTCGCCGGTTTGAGGCGAGAGCACATCCGACACTTGAGAGGAGTACCGGACGTTGACGTCCGCGGTTTCTTCGCACGAACCGGTTCCCAGGCCTGTTTGGAAGGGGACCGAGGGCGAGATTGCTTAGGGCGAGAGGAGGAAGTAAACTTAGACGGGCCAGCTTGCGTAGTAACTACAGCAAGCTGTGCTTTGTCCTTTCCGGCTTTCCACCGAACCTCCTGACCGCTAGCATACAGGATTAGCTTCTCTAAATCCTGCCAGTCTTTGCCCTCATCGTCCGTAGCGCAGCGACCGCGCAGCGCAGGAACTAAGCCCTTGATATACCAAGAGATTTGATCCGCAACACTCATATCATTCGCTTCGCGAACAATATCGTAAAAGCGCTGCGTATACTCCGGTACGGACTCGTCTATTTTCATATCGTACTCGTGCGCGTGCAAACGATCACGTGCGGCCATCGCGGTGTCGCGCTTCGCATCCCCATATTGTAACAGGAATTTATCACGCAACAAATCGCGGGTAAGTGGTTGCGCGCCGGACTTGTGCTTAAGGAAAAGATCTGCGGCCCACTCCTGAGCCTTGCCCGTAAGCCAAAACATAAAGTGCTCAAGCGGGTCCATTTGCGACAAGTCAAAATATTGCATAAGAAGCGCGAACCATGTCTTAGTAATAGTAATTTGCGAATCCTTCTTTCCACTAAAACGAGGTGGTGCAAGGATACGCTTATTTGTTGCGGGCTATGCGAAGCTTGAGCCGGGTTAGCTAAGGCGTAGGGCCTTACGGCCGTTTTAAGTGGTACGACTTGAGGCCGGCGATCCGTGTCCTCAGGATCGTCTTTTGCATAAATAGCGCGTGTTGCAGGTTTTCTGTATCTTGTTTTTGTTGTTCAGCACGCGCTGAACAACGAGGCAGGTCCCGCGCCTTCGGCGCGCTTTCTGTTTTTTTCCGCTGTGCTTTCAGCTCTTCAGCAAGACCCATCGGGTAGAGTGCCCTGATTGAAGGAGCACCATTATCGCTCCGTCGTCATCGTCTTGAAGATCATGGCAACCGTAGCAGTATCCGTCCAAGCCGTTTTAGCGGTTTTTGTCGTTTTCTGCGGCGTTGCTGGCGCCATGATGCCGGGCCAATATGGTTCCCAGCCCCCTTCCCCATATATGCAAGGTCTGCTGGGTGGCGGCGCTACGCCGCTAGGAGGCGGAATGGCGCCCAGCGCGGTACCGAGAGCGGCAACTATGTCTGGTGCGGCGGTTGCTGGGCCGGACATCGCTGCAATGTTACTCCAGATGCAACAAGACCTGGCCGGGGTCCGCGCGCGCCTAAATAGTCAAGGTGCGACCTCGGGTCCGGAATACGATTTGCGCGCGCTGACGGAGGATTTTGCGTCGCCTCAAGTGCAGCGCTCTCCAGCCGGGTCGCGGTTTCCGTTTCCCGACTATGTTCTGCACAATTTGCCGGGAACCATGACGGTGGATAATCTGGTTTTGCATAATTTTCGGGCAATACCTGAGTGGCAGGAGTTAGAGCACTCGCAGAGGGGTCATCCTGATCGTGCGGGCTCGTTAGTTTATGAGTTTAGCATTCTGATTACTTTGCTTGGCGTCTTGGAGATGGTGCGGTCCGGTTTGACTATGATTCGCCGCTTTTTCGGATATTCAAATTTACCTCAAGAGTGGGTTGTCGCCCTGACCTGCGCCTCTGATACCTTGCTGTATGATGTGGCTTGGATGCATAACCTTATTTCGGCCCGTATCAATTGTTTGGTGGAATTTAGCCGTAGGGGCCGTGATGGCCTCGTTGCCCTGCACCAGCGTTACTTTGCGCCTTCGGAGCGGCCGCTGGTGGATGCTGTTACCCGTGAGTTTGACGAGGAGTATGCTAAGCAGCGGGCAAAAGTGACTCTTAAGGTCCTGGCAGAAAGGGAGGCCCGTAGGCATCAGGGCAATGGCGGTCTGTTTCAGGCCCCAGGTCGGGGCCAGGGTGGTGGCCTGCGCCGGGGTCGTGGAGGTGGCCGGGGCGGTTTTCCGCCTGCTCGTGCTGTTGCGGCAGCTGGTAGCGCCCAACCCCCGGTGGGTTCGGGCCAGGCCCACTAAAACATGTCGTCGCATTCCGCTGCACCCCTGCATGCACGCGTCACCTCGCGGTTGGCTGCTTGGAAAGCCATTGGTGCCGATGCCCGCACGTTGCACGTGTTGAAGCATGGTGTTCCGGTTGAGTTCCTGGGAGATCGTCCGCCGCCTGCGTTTGATCTGCCCAGTTTCCCGGTCACTATTGAGCAGAGCCGTTGGTGGTGGA